ACTCAATGATGTCACTGTGCCACTCGAACCACATCTCCACTTCTGGCTTTTTGCTACTTAATTGAAGATAAGAATATTGTGGATTTATTAGATTGGGTTGGCATAAAACTGTGATCCTCAGATCCCACCCTCCTGAACAACTAAGATTACAAGAATGAGCCAGAACCTGGATATGCTGAGGTCTCTATGAGACTTAAAGAAGGGCACATAATTCTGAAGCATATATGTATGGTTATGTATTTCAAAATTAGTTAGAAAAATACACCCTTAAAAAAGAAATCTATAGCCCTCTATGTGTGTGTGTGTGAATGTGTTGAGGGAAATGAGGATGTATCTACTGATTTTGAGGAAAGATTTCACCTAAGGCTTTTCACAGACTGAGCTACGCTCTACAGAATGCTTGAGCCTAAAGTGAGGTAAATGATGCCATCATCCATTCATCTACATCCCTTGCTAACATATGCATATACTGTAGTGTTGTCATGAGTATTTCGTGTATGAGAGCCAGTACAGGGGCATGAATTCAGGGTCTGGATTCTGTCCCTTAGCTTTTGTTTGTGATGCTGTCACTCTACTATTTGAAGCATAGCTGAGCTTTTTTCATTTAATGTTTAATTGGTGGTAACAGTCCGTTTTGCTCAGTTGGCTTTGAACTGAGTTTCTCATATCTCAGGGTTCTGAGTAGCTAGTTTTACAGGCCTGAGCTTCCAGTGCCTAGCATGTGATTATTACTTTCACAAGATACATGTTCACACAAATTCCTTGCATTGAAAGACCTCACTGTTCAGGCTGACTGACAAGTTGTAAGGAAACATGGTTGAGTGGATAAGTTACCAAATGGGCCTCTAGCCCCATTAACATCATTCTGGTCAGTAACTTATCTTTCATTAAGTAAGTACATATTTCCACTTTCACTCTGCCTTTGTTAACAGGAACTCATGAAATGTTTTTGATACAATTTTTAAATATTATATCCCAAACAGGAGATAATATATGAATGTATTTGATAATATTTCAGATAAGGGTGGTCTTTGTATCTGGATGTCTATGGGCAGAAGCCGTCCAACTGGGCTTCAGGCCCAGAGCTAATGCTTCCTGTCTGCTGGTTGCAGAGAAGAAGGTTTTCTTCCTGGCCAAGCTTTGAATTGAGATCCTTTCATCTTAGACTTCTAAGTAGTAGGATAACAAGCATGAACCACCACCAACTGGCTTGTTTTAGAAGCATTAATTGCTTTCCATTCATTGCTTTTTTTTCCTGGAAGGTTGATCTAGACAGACTACTTGTACCTCATGATAAGGTGATTTGAATAATACCCTTTGCCTCTGGCATTTCTGAAACTCATTTCCTCAGTTGAGGGAAATGAATTGGTCTAAAGCCAATAGCATTTTCCTTCTGAGATGTTAGGTCGCTTATTTAAATCTCTTATCCTTTTCTTTGGCAAAACAATCGGGATGTTTATGTAAAAGCCTACTTCTTGAGAGTATTATAGTTAGAAGTTATCATGTGCACACTTTCATATAGTCTCTCCTTTTATAATCATGATTGGGTGATGACTATTGAATTAATTTGATAACCACTCTAGAATTGTTCAGCTTTAATGCTTATTAACTCAAAGGATGATTAAATATATTCAGAATAGTGGAATGTCGCTACTACTCATTTTATATATGTGGAAAGATTATCAGAATTCTTATGATTAACAAAATATATCTTCAAATTTCCAGTGGTAGACTGCTATGCTAACTGGGAGGAGAAAAAGGTGATGCCAGGGCTTTGAAAGCTGGTAATGAAGCAAAGTATCCTGGGAGAGCATTTTCTTTTCTTTTTTTTTTTTTATTATTGTACAGAGGGGTTACAATTACATGCTGTACAGAGGGGTTACAATTACATGCGCAAGATAATGAGTATATTTCTTATCAAGTATTGTAGCCTCCTCCTTTGTTTCCCCTTCCCATCTCTTCCATCCTTCCCCTCGCCCCCCCACCCAATTTTCCCCGCCCCACCACCAAAGTTTTAAAGTTTGTTCTCCACATAACGACTTGTACTTCTCATTTTTGCAATGGGTCCAGCTGATGATAAAATTTCCAAGGTTCATACCAAATATATTGAATTAGAATGCTAAGTGATGAATGACAGCACCAAATTTTATTTGTTGGCTTCTCTGTTTTGTGAAGTCCTGGGATTTGGACCTAGGGACCGAGTGATGTCCCTTAGTTTTTTCCTCAAGGCTAGTGCTCTACCAGTTGAATCACAGCATCATATCCATATTTATTGGTGGTTAATTGGAGATCCGTCTTACCAAATTCCATCTTTGGGCTTGCTTTAAACCTGATCCTCAGATATCAGCCTCCTGAGTAACTAGGATTCCAGTTGTGAGCCACCAGAGCCCAGCTTGAATCACATTTTAAAAGTGTTCTTTACTGAATCAGATGTGTCTGACTACTGTTTTAGCACTTTGGTTCCAGTGGGTCATGTCAGATTTAAACTAAAATAGAACTTTTCTTCTTATAATCGGAAGCATCTAATATCTATCTAATTTATTCTTTCTTCAGTTCTGATCTTTTTCTTCTTTGAACCTTTCCATTCTTATTTCACAAGCAAGCATGTCAGTGCTGTTTTCCTTTTCTGAGGAAGTCAGATCCATTCCCATCAATGGGGGATGTACTTACTGGTTTTACTGCTTGGAGTACCTGCATCTAGATAATTGCTTGGATGATGGCTCTCATATCAACATCCCTCCCCAATGTGAAGTTGTTGCCACAAAATGACCAATTTCAGGTCTTTGATATAGAGAGGTTATCATTAAGATTTCTGTTTTTCTTTCCAGCCTGAAATTGGTAAGGGGGGAGCCACATTCACTTCTTTTTCTCCAACACTCTGTAATAGTGCCTAGTCCTTAGTGCTCAGGAGCCTTACATGGAGATCAGCCTTCTCCAATTCAATTGATCCTAGCTTCTGGTCAGGAGAGCTCTTCAGGCTGAAGTTGATGGCTAGTAGTCATTCCTAGTCATTCCCTCTCATTCTTTCTGCCTTTTGGTGTTGTTGAGTCCACTTCAGGGCAAAATCAGTGCCTGACACCTATTTGCTGCTATGGCAAAGGTGGCTGTGCCATCATAGAAGTTATGGCCATTGTATTGTGAAGCTGTGTGAGGACACCCACCCCTCACAATTTCCCCAAGATATATGTCTCCTTTGCCCAGGAGACCATTCAACAATTCAGCACCCAAACTATCACCAGTTCCTGATAAATTCAGAGTATGTGTCCATTTCCTTTAAAAACAAAAGAAAAAATCAAGACATACCTTTGATGATTTGTCATTGAATTACTGAAACAGAGTATATAATTTTATGTATTTGTAGTCTTTGACCATCTCTCTTGAGCCCTTGCCATATTTCTATGTGTTTGCAACTTGGGAATGGAAAAAAGTTTTAATTCAATATAGTCAGAGACTATAGTGCAGAAGGCTCTTTTTAGAACCTTTTGGAGGGACTACCAACTTTCCATTTGATTTTCTACAGGTGGCCTTCTTGGTACAGGAACTGAGATGACTGTCATAAGATCAGAGGCATGTCCTGATTTCTACTGACTTTCCTCTGGGTTCGGGGCATGTGATCCCACTGCATATGTGTCTATTTGCTACACTGGAGTCACCAGGCCTTCTCTGAAAATCTACGGCTTGGGGTAAGAAATAATAGAACTCAGAACCCAGCTTCCCACATCACTAGGATTACAGGCCTGAGTTTCATGGACTCAACTTTTTTATACCTATTATAGTCAGTTTAATAATACTTATTTTCATTATATTCACTTCTTAGACTGATATATACAAATAAAAGTATATAATTATTCATCTATTTATAACCAGTGTTATATCTAGAAACACACAAATATATTCATATAACTATAATCAAATTATATCACTTCTTTCCCCAATAATATTTACACTAATATTTTATGCAAAAAATACTGAAGACTAAAAAGTTAAATGCTTTGTAATTTGAAAAATCATATTCAATCTTATACATCATATAAAATACTATATATAATATAAAGAATATAATGTGTTTACATATAACTGATTTAATTGTCGAGTTTGTTCTTCTTGATTTTGTGTTTTTTCACATCTGTAAGCCTTCTGTTTTCTATTGATGATGGTTTATACTTTCCAGTATACATATCTCCTATATATTTTGTCAAATATTTTCAGACCTAAGTAGACTTTTTATATTATTGGGGCCAAATTTTTTTCCATATTCGCCCAAATCACAATGAAGATGTTTACAGATTGGAACTCACTGTTGGAAGAGTGTCCCAAATACCACTATAAGTATTGTGGCATTTATACCAATTGATAGATTAGTTTTCTACAACATCTGATCTGCTATGTCCTAGATCTTTGATAGACACCTTATCACCCCCATCCTGGCATGGCCTGGCTTCATTTCCACTCCCTGTGCATTTAACAGTTTGCATTATATCCAGTAGGATCTCTTGTACAGCCTCCTGTCACTCTGTGTTTTCCCTCCCACAGAACACGTATGCACGATGCTTCAGATTGTAAGTTTAAGAGGAAACATATTTAGGATTCAAGAATTCTAGAATATGTCAAAAACATTGACATTTTAATAAAGTTCAAAAAATAAATACAATGAACCTTTTACAACAATCAGGACAAAAAGAAAAATAAGGATTTTCTCAGGAAGGGGAGAAGGAATCTCGAAATCTAGATTGGTCTCTAAGTTGCCTTCAGGCAGAAATTCTGCCTCAGAGTCCTCAAAGGGACTTCCTCATTAAAGACGACAGGATTATCTTCCTGAGTCCAGGTAGGGACAGATTCTAATTTCTGAATTAGAAATTCGATCCCCTGCAAGAGGACAGATTGTTCTGGGTATTCTGTGAGGAAAGATTCCCTGACCTCAACTGAATCAAGATTTTGGACCTCACTTTTTGTTTTTTCTGAAAATAGACCGGGGTCATTTTCCATTAGCACACATTTACCCTGAACATCATGACCTTTTTCTTTTGACTGGTTTGGAGCTGATCTAGCTGGATTGTGAAAATCAATGGGAAACATTCTGGATCGTCTTCTTCTTTGGTGGTATGTGCAGGTACACCTGCATCACATGTGGGTTTCAGAATCAGTGGGATGTCCACAGGAGTCAAAATCTACTTGTGCCTTTCTACAAATTGAAGAAAAAAAAACCTCTACCTTCGCATACTTTCTGAGATCAGTGATGGATTCTGATCTCCATCAGTCACCATAGACGACATCACTGATGGGTTCTTTATCTGGAGTTCTGCAGGAGCTGATCTATGATGATGCAAACCTGAGAATGGAAATAGGTACAGGAGTCTTAGAGTAGACCTTAGACGTTAAGGTGTGACTAAACTTCCATGAGAATCGAATGGGGGAAGCTGTAGAATTTGAGTTTGGACTGATAAGAAGGTAGGGTGTTTTAAATGAATGGCTAATTCCAAGTTCTTTCAAAAGGAGAACAGATATTACCTGGCATGGAATATCCATAAAATGAAATTTTTGCCAAGCTGGGGAGTACTAAGGGCTCTTGACCAACCAGGACCATACCTAGATATGCAGGTTCTATCCCTACTCATGAGCTCTGAGAAATCTAAACAAGGTCTTCTTCCTCTTTCTCTTGGTCTCATGGATCATGGGTTCCTCCACCTAGTCCAGAAGAATATGTAAACAGAAGAGCAGGTCTGAAGAGGGCATGTTGAGTTTGACATACTGTGTAAGTTCTTTCAGGGTGTCATGGTTCTTGGGCTCATAGAATTCATCAGGTTAGAAGTCCATCCACATAGGGAGGATGGAACAAACCATGCTGTGGGAAGATTGATGACAAGGAAAATGAGAGCCCATCTTCCCCATTCTGAGTCTTGTATTATAGCCTCTGTCTGGCAGGACTTGCATGTTGGGAAGTGGGAAGAAACTCCTGCAAGGAGGATGCTCCTCACAACCCACTTCTAGAAATTTCGCAAATATAATCCCATAAAATTCTCCCCGTAATAAGAAGAAAATGTTGTTTCCCCACTGGATCGGACTTGCTATATATACACAACCCTCCCTGTCATCCATGAAAGTCCAAAACCGCAAGCACATCCACAACTATGTAATCTGCTATCCTCTGAAGTGCCAAGCCTCAACCCCCTGGTGAAAATCACAACTGGTGAGCAAAGAAGAAAGTTGACTTTGATTTAGAAGCCTCAAATATACCAAGTTTTCAAGGACAAAACTTGTCTTTGTGCCAACTTTTTCACTTGCTCATCTTCCTCCCAGTTACAGTAAAAGGATCTGTACCGATGGGAGGAGAACAGGAAGTTAACTCTATGCTTCTCCTTTTCTGAACTAACAGGACACACATGGGAATGGCTAAGTCCCACATGGTAATGTAAACATGACAGACAAAAAGTAGAGTTATGTCTATACAATTTCATGGAAATTCTGTGAGGATGCTTATATGCATCTATCCAAATAAATACATCATGGCTCATGCCTCTAATCCTACTAATCAGGAGAGTGAGATCTGAGGATCACAGTTTGAACCCACTCTAGTTTGTAAAATTCTAAAGACACTTAACTTCAATTAACCAGCCAAACACCAGAACTAGACCTTGAGCTCAATTGGTGGAGTGCTACAAATTGGACAACACTCAGGCCCCAAATTCAAGTTCAATTTGCATCCTTTCTTCTGTCTATATTCCTTCAAAGGCCTCTAAGATAGTGATTTCCTAGGTGAGGGTGAACGTTGGTTGCCACTGGCTCATTGCTTTAATCCTAGTCTCTCAGCAAGCAAATTGCTAAGCTTCCACTAGTTTATGAGGTAAATGAAATGTTCTGGCAGCCCAGTCCTAAGGAATCAGCCGGGGAGTGCACTTCTTTGTTTCAAGCCACGTTCCTTTGATAAGACCCCAGTGAAACAGTCTCAGGTGGTAATCATTCCAATATTCTGCCAGGGGGTCTCAATAACCCTCGGTTTGTTGGTCATGGGGCTTGAACTCTAGGCTTCGGTGTTATCCCTCAGCCCTTCAGCTCAAGGGGAGCACCACTTCCAGTTTTCTAGTGGTTTATTGGAGATAAGAATCTCATGGACTTTCCTGCCCGGGCTGGCTTTGAACCGTGATCCTCATATCTCAGCCCTTGACTGTAGTGCTCTACCAATTGTGCCACAGTTCCACTGCAAGGTTTTTAGTAGTGAACTGGAGAGGAGAGACTCATAAAATTTCCTACTCAGGCTATCTGAACTAAATCTCAGGTCTTAAGCCCCTGATTAGCTAGTTATAATTTTGAACCTCCAGAACCTTGTGATAAAGCATTGTTACTGGAGACAGTGGGGTTGCAACTTTTAGTCCACCTTCACAACACTCTATATCATAAAACAACAACAGTTGTAATTAGAATACAATTTAGTGATATAGTCTGCTAACATAACTTTCAGGAAATCTTGGTCTTAATGATTTAGCATCACAAAACCAAACAAAATGAGATAATTTCAGTAGACTCTACAAATTTTTAAATTCCATCTTAATAATTTCAAAACATTATTAGAAACAGGAAAACATTCACATTTATAAGGAAAATGTAAAAAAAGATGAAAGATGGCAGATTATGAAATGGAAAACGTTACACTGCAGGAAAATTATTGCCATGGTGAATATATGGTGGTATTGTCATGGTGAATAAATGATAATGTTCCTCAGAGCAGCAATACATAAATATATATTTACTACACAAAGTCTCACTTGTCTATCTCTATCAACTTCCAATCTCCTAGTGCACATTATCAATGTATTCATGTTTATTGTACATTCCAAAAAATAACTAGCAGAGTCAGGAGGTTACCAAAATACATTAGCTTTAATGTTTTAGGAGATAAACGTGGTAATTATATTGACTATTCTATATCTTAAACATGTAGTGTGCTATCATTGTATCTCTAAGTATATACAAACACTAATTCAGAAACGGAATACAACAACAATGTTTTGAAGGCATATGCCTGTAAAGCTACCTATGTGGGACATCATTTCAGTGTAGTTTTACCTGCAATGCTCCCCAACCTCTGGCACTGCGTGATGGAATATGTCTATCATCCCAGGTCCATGGGGAGCTGAGAGCAGGAGGATTTCAATTCCATGCCATTCTAGGCAAGAACTTCCACATGGCTCCATCTCAACCAAAGAAGGTTCAATACTAACACCTATCTCCCCCACCTAGGTGAAAATAAAAATAAGAGCTTTGTAGTATAAGAAACAAACAATATTAAAAGAAGCCAATAGAAACCATCATGAACAACACAAGCCTAGTGTTTGTTTCTCATACCTGTAATCCTAACTATAGCTAGGACTATATATGTGAGCAAGAGGCACTAAGCAGTTCATCATATTAAAAATGACTATTTGAGTGCTTTGACTCCGAGGTCTTTGATCTATTTGGAGTTGGTTGTGGTGCCGGGTGATATATAAGGATCTAGCTTTAGTTTTCTACAAGTGATTAACCAATTTTGCCAGCACCATTAACTAAAGAGGGGGTCTTTCTTCCATTCTATGTTTTTAGCTCCCTTATCGAAGATTAGATGGCTATATGCCTGTAGGTTCATTTCTGGGATTTCATTTCTATTCCATTGTTCCTGAGGAAACTTCTTGTTGCAGTACCAAGCTATTTTGATTACTATGGCTTTTTAGTAGCGTTTGAAATGTGGTGTTGATATTCCTCCAGCACTGTTTATTCTGCAAAGGATTGTTTTTGCTATTGAGGTCTTTTATTGTTCCATATAATTTTTTGGATTGCCTCTTCTATTTCCTTGAAGAATGAGGTAGGAATATTGATAGGTATCACATTGAATTTGTAGATAGCCTTGGGAAGTATTGCCATTTTCACGATATTGATCCTTCCAATCTTGGAGCATAGGAGGTTTTTCCACTTTCTAATTTCTGTTTTGATTTCCTTTTTCATGTTTTTCAAAGTTTTCATCATAGAGGTCCTTCACTTCTTTGGTTAAGTTAATTCCTAGGTATTTTATTATTTATGGGGCTATTACGAATGGAGTTGCTTTCCTGATTACAGCCACGTTTTTCTAATTGTTGGCATACAGAAAAGCCATTGAGTTTTGAGGGTTAATTTTATACCCTGCCACTTAGCCAAAGTTTTGAATCAGCTTGCATAATTTGTGAGTGGAGTCCATGAATAAGAGAAACCCTAGGTCACCTTGGCACAGGCCAATATTTTTGTAAAAGAGACCCAGAAACACGATAAATCAAAAAATGGTTGGAGAAATTGGATTGCATGAAATTGCAGAGCTTCAGAAAGGCAAAGGACAGAGCTAGCAAGATCAATAGAAAGCCCACATACTGGGAGAAGATCTTCACTAGCCATACAAAGGACAAGTGTCTCATATCTAAAATATACCTGGAACCCAAAAAATTAATCCCCCAAAAACAAATTCTCAAAGAAACAACTACCCAATAAATAAGTGGCCTAAGACTTAAAGAGAAACTTCTCCAAAGAGGAAAGAACGACTGCAAATAGACACATGAAGAAATGCTCAACCTCCCTACCCATAAGAGAAATGCAAATCAAAACATCATCAAAACAACAACCACCTCACCCAAGTTAGAATGGCTATAATCAAGAACTCTAATAACAATAGATGCTGTAGAGGATGTTGTAAAAACGGAACCTTACTGCATTGTTGGTGGGAGTGTAAACTTGTTCAAAAACTTTGAAAAGCAGTATGGATGGATGTTCCTCAAAAGACTCCACATAGAGTTCCCCTATCACCCAGCAATCCCACATTTGGGCATTTACCCTAATGATCACAAACAAGACAATACTAATGTTACAAGCACAACTATGTTTATTGAAACATTATTTACCATAGTTAAGATATTGAACCAACCCAGATACCCCTCAGTAGATGAATGGATCAAGAAAATATGGTTATAAAATATGTATATAATTCCATTATATACATAATGGAATTCTCTGCCTCCATCAGAAAGAATAATATTGCCCCATTTGTTAGGAAACTGAAAGCCTTGGAAAAAAATTATATTAAGTGAAGTAAGCGAGGCCCAAAGAAACAGGTCCCATGTTTTCCCTTATTTTCAATAACTAGTATATGTCTGAGACTAGCAGAAAAGGTCAGATAAGTTGAAGTTAGGTGAAATGAACCCCAAGATAAGGATTCAAATGTTTTTTTTTCTTTCATGCGATTGTTTCTAACATATTTATGAGATTATTTCTT